CCGCCTTTTAATTAAGTTGTATAGTTTTGAACTTTGAGATCCGTTAACGAAAACATTCCATTGCTTGGAGCCACCGGTGAACAAAGCCACACACAAATTCATTAACTGTCTGTTCTCTGGCTGCTTTGTATATAAAAGAGATCTGAAGAGAATACACCTCAGGTCTGTAGGATTTGGGTTATAATATCGCATAGTCCCTGCTCTCAAGGATAATGAGATATAATAGATCACAAGGATAATTTGAAATCTATAGAGAATCTCAAGCTCTCATTTAGTCAGCGGTTTCCATCTTTCAAGCAAATCTTTTATCAGAGTTGATAATTATCTGAATTGATTTATTGGAGTTTTGTTTTTCACTCTTAATTCTTTTAGGGGCCAGAGCTGAAAAATAGCGAGGCAGTGAAAGAGAGAGATGAAGCAGAATGTAGATGACCAGTTTTTTAATATCATCTTTATAGTTATTTTTAATGGATGATCTCAGAAAAGAGATAAAGTTCTTTTTAATGGATGATCTCAGAAGGTGCATGAGCACCTTCATTATGCTTGTGCTCAGAGACCAGCAGTTCTCAAAGTATTGAGCCTTTATCAAAAAAAAAAAAAAAAAGAAAAATCATTCTTGATTAAGCCACTGCTTCAAGAAACCCTCTTGCGTAGTGGAAAAGGGAAAACCTTTCAGCGGTTGCTTGCTGCTCTGAAAGCAGACCGTGAGCTAGCGCTGGGGCGCCAGGACCCGCAGAGCCGCCATCTGCAGGGACAGAGCCCCCTAGGTGCAGAAGCAGGGGCATGTGCCCAGTGGGTGGGGTGAGGGGAACTTCTCCCCTCAGTGTGGGCTCCCTGCTCGGGGACTTGTGGCCATTCCCCTTAGGATCTCTGCTGCAGGAGCATCATGGCTCATGTGCAAGGATGTCCTGAAAGCGCAGCTGGCCTGCTGGTGGTGATGTGATCAGCTGGGTGGTGTGTGTGTGTGTTTGCTCAGGTGGCTCAGTGGTAAAGAACCCGCCTGCCAGTGCAGGAGAAGCAGGTTCGATCCCTGGCTCGGGAAGATCTCCTGGAGAAGAGAATAGCAACCCACTCCAGGATTGCCTAGAGAATCCCATGGACAGAGAGCCTGGCAGGCTACAGTCTATAGGGTCACAAAGTGTTGGACACGACTGACCAGCTGAGCACAGCTGGTCTTCCCTTCCTTCAGTGGAATTTTATTCTGAACATGTCTTTCTTTGCAGGACTTGTTACAGTATAACCAGTATAGCAGAGAGCCATATATAATGTGTAACTCACATGACCCTTGGTCAAGCCAAGGGTTGAGTTCACCGCCCTTGGCTGGCTCCAGGATCTCCACATATAAAATCGGACATGCTACCCACCAGTGCTTGCCTTGCTGCTTATTTTAGAGCAGGCCTCTCCAAAGTTTGTTAGTCGTGTATTTTATCAGTAAAAAAATTTTAAGTGCATGTGCATATATTTATAAAGTATTTATGCTATTGTATATAAATGCCATATGTAACAAGAATGTATAGTTACTTGTAAATAAAATTCATGTGCTCTCACCCCAATGTATTATATTCATTTTATGATGTGCAAAATATGTGTTTTAGAAGAAAGAGTTAAAAAGTGAACTATAAATGAAAGTTCTCATGTTTTCTTCCCATAACCCTGAAGTATCCACACCCTGCTTTAAAGTGCAGTGTTTCTGGGGTTTAAATAAATGTAAAAGCACTTTGGCATTGCAGAGTGTTTCCCAAATGTATGTTTTGTTTTTGTCATCATCATAGTTAGTCCACAGTTATTAAGGAATGAGCTGTGGTCCCTCCCCTGGATGTTATAAAACTGGGGCACGTGGAGCTTGTGTGAAGTGTTCTGTTGCTTGTCGAAGTTCCTTAAGGCACTGCTTTGAAACACCAAGTCTAAGCTTGGTGGCTGGAAAAATAGATCATCTCGAACCACATTTTACCAGACCAAGAGCACCACTTTTTAGGCCCTGAGGATTTGCCAGGCACTGGCCTGAGTGCTCTTGTTATGGTAGAAACTAGTGCGTCTCTGAAAAGTGTCACTCGGTGTGGACAGGAGCGTGGAGGTCCCATGCAGCTGGTCCCTGTGGATGCTGTGCCTGGAGAGACAGGGGCTGGGGGTGGTGGCATGTGCATGACTGAAGGTTGTGCAGTGTTGCTCCAGAGATAGGAGTTATACCCAGAGCTAGGTATTTCAAGGGAGTTGTCTTGACTTGGTCTGCAACAGAGGGACAGAGAGACTGAGACCCGTCCCACGGGAGGCTTCCCCTGGTGAAGCTTCCGTCCCTCCATCAGGACAGACGTTAGGCTAGCTGACCCCGAGTTCCCTTTGACCTTTTGCGGTCCTTTTGTTCTCTGAGTTCCTGAGTTGTTTGGCTCCTTTTGTTTAGCTGTAATCTCTTCGGTTTATTCCCTGTTGAAGGCCTGTGCCTGCAGCTGATTTGCCCTACCTCCATCTGCACCGTTAGGCCCTTGTCCCTTCCCTGGGGCCCTGCAGGCCTCTCTGTGGTCCCTGAGCCATCTTCCCTCCACTCCAGCCCATCCTGTGTGTCCTCAAGTCTGTCTTCCTCAAATGCCAGCCTCCTTACAGTATTATTAGTTTTCTCTTACTGCAGAACAGGTGAGCCCAAGCTCTGCAGGTTAATACAGCACAAAGCGATTATTTCATAGTTTCTGAAGGTCAGAAGTCCAGGCACGGCCTGGCCGGTTCCTGCTCAGGGCGCCTCCAGGCTGAAGTCACTGCGTGGGTCAGGGCCTTGCTTCTCACGTGGGGCGCCGGGCCACTTCTGGGCCCGTGGTTGTTGGCAGAGTCCGTCTCTGTGAGTCTCTGGGCCTGAGGTCCCCGGACTGCTCTGCTCCTGGGGGCCGCCTGGGCTTCTCAGGCTGCCCACTTCAAGGAGGTTTGCTTTCTTCAGGGCCAGCCAGGGCGTGCCTGCTTGTGACTGTGTGAAGTTAAAAAAATATTTTTTTTAATTATAGAGAACACAAGAGCTTCTCCCAGAGGAGGCAGGCAGAACAGAGACCATATCTGGCGGCTCCTCATCAGTGATGCTGGCCAGTGGGAGGAGGCGGTGTCGGTTCTGAACAGAGTAGAGGGCAGGGCTGCAGCTGTGCTGGGTGTCTGGGCTGCCCTCTCACCCCGCATCTCCCCAGGTGCCTGCAGAGTCTGTGTGGGGTAGACTCCCATCCACGAGCGGGGTTGCTCGGGGGGAGTTCATCGGAGTGGGGGTGTCCCTCTTCCTTGGGTCTCCAGAGTACCCCCTTGGGACTACAGAACAGCACTCCTGGGTCTCTACTGGACGGGTCAAGCTTCATCGGCCACATTGATTTTCTGTTTATTTGTGAAGGGACAGAATACGAGATTACCAAATAAAATATAATTTCCAGTGTTATTAATGAAAGACTATATTACATTCACTTTTAATGAGATCCTGGTGTTGCAAAATGATTCCATGTAATGAATCCCCTGGAAATCAATGAAAAGTTTAATTACCGTCATGGCAGTGCTGTGCGAGAATATTGCTTCGGTCAGTTTTACAATTTATCAATTTTCTTTCCCTTTCTCTTTCTTTAATTGCTTTGATGAAGTGAAAATACATTCTTTGTTAGCTTTTGATCTTTTTTGGAAATGTGTTACAAAATTCAGATTTCTTCCTCTCTAGTAATAATGGCCCCTGTCATTTTTTTATCTATGTTGCTATTTACAATTTGTATATTTTTAAATGAGGCAGTATTTCCATTTTGTAGATTTAATCATTGTTAAGTCTTACTAAAGCATTGTCCTTTTTTCTCTGTCAGTTTTTTTGCAAACTACTTGCTATCTCTTCTCAGCTCAAGAGTTGACCCATTAGTCAAAAATTCGATGTTCTGTGTTTATTGCTCATCACCCAGTCGAGCTCTGGGGGCAGATAAAAACAAAAACCATTGGTTTTGTGCAACTACATACCCGTTTTGATTTCAAAAAAAGAGAATTTTCTTCTTAAAGTATTTTTAGTTTGACATTTCACTGATTATAGTACTGTCTTTTCCACCATGATGGTAATTGATTTTTTAAACCTATTTATAAAGCAGAATGCAGAATGTCAACCTGGATTTTTGGAAAGATCTAAGGTCATTTTTCTATATTGGTAACTCTGGATTTTGCTGACGGTATACTGAGAAAGTCATCCCCTCTGTGTGTCTGGTTCCCCATGGCGCTGCCCTCGTTCCCCGTGGTTGATAGTCAGCCTCTCAGATGGTCCCTCTGTGTTGTAAGTCAGGGTGCCCACTGCTCCCGGTTAAACAGCCAGTGATAGAGGACTTCTCGACCAGATGAGTGCAGACTCCTCAACTTGCCATTCTGCAGTCTGACAGCCACCACCCTGCCTCCTCAGCCCCCAGTAAATTCTCCTCCTTGCCTGGCGCAGTGGGAATCCGAAAGAGGCAGCAAGCTAGACAGTCAGGGCGCCTGCCTCCGTGGAGCTTATATTCCAGGTGGAAGCCAGAGAGTGACAAGCGCCAGAAAGGAAGCCCAAGGACGCTGTCAGCCTAGAGGGCTTCCTGCTCATGAGAGAATGGGGCAGTTCTCCCTAAGCCATGATCTCTAAGACAGGACCTGAAAGATGAGGAGGATCCAGCCATGGGAAGAGGCAGAGGGAATAAAAAGTACAAGGACGTCGAGGCAGAATAGAGCCTAACCTGCTCAGCACAAGGCTTCACGTCCAGCACGGTACTGATTGTGGACTAGGTTCGCAGTGAGTGTTTGTTGAATGAATAAGTGACTGACTGGATCTGAAACACCCGTCTTAGTTTTTACTCTTGAGTGTAATGGCATTTTTCTATAATAGAATTTTTATAATCGGAGTGATGTTCTGTAAAGCTTAATTTTCCAGTGAAAGGTCAGCCTGCAGGCCGCGCTGTTGCCGTGGGGATTGGTCGGCCTGGAGGTGGGCTTGCAAGGCTGGGACCCCCCCACTGCCTGGTGACAGCCCCTGCTGTGTTTCTGTCTTGCAGCCCTGGTCGTCAGCACCACCTCAGCTGGCTTTGCCCTGGCTCCAGTGCCTTTTGACTGGTCCTGCTTCCTGCTTACGTTTGTTGGAACAGGCCTGGCTTCCTGCGCTGCCAACTCCATCAATCAGGTCAGTGCAGCACCTTTCAGCCGGCTCAGGCTATTGTCGCTTCTCCTGAGATTGTCATATTGTGGCATTTAAAAAGAAAAAGAACCCTCCCAAATCACACCCATAGCTGGGAAGGTCCTGTGAGCCTGGAACACTGTGTGTCCTGCAAGGTCTGGGGCCCAGAACCAGTCTGTCTTTTTCTTTTCGGGTGAAAGGTTTTCAGGTATATTCAGAATCGAGAGCAATAGAGTATCTTTCTCAAATGACCAGGGTTTGGAGTTGCAAAGTGTTTTAGAGGGACTTCCCTGACAGTCCAGTGGTTAGGACTCTGTGCTTCCAATTCACAGGGTGCAGGTTCGATCCCTGGTTGGGAAACTAAGATCCTGCTTGCCACATGGCACAGCCCAAAGAATAAACTAATTAATTCAATTCAATTAAAATACTTTATTTTTTAAAAATCGCTTTAGAGCTGTCAGACTCTCCTCTTTCCCACTTCAGGCACATTCCCCTAAGCTTACATTATGATGTGTTGTTCTTACTTTGGTTTGACTCGTTTGCATTTTAAAACCTCCACTATGCAAAACAGTGTATTTTAAACAAGCACATCCANTGTGGGTCTATTTTTCAAAATATTTTTTAAATTATCACTTGTATGTATTCAGTAGTTATAAATCCGGGTCATAAGATTAAGCCAGGGAAGCATTCTGGTTTTCAGGCTCCTTTTGAAAAATTGAAGACTGTGTTTATCCTTGATAATATCAGTTGCTGTCTCCTGTTCCACTTATATAGATTTTAAATAGAGACTTTGGACTAAAGTGTGGAGACTCAGAAAATAGCCACACAAGCTCATAAACATCAACTGGTTCCTAGATATTATAAAAGATGACGCAGAGTGGGGGACTCCCCTGGCAGTCCAGTGGTTAGGACTTTGCCTTCCAAGACAGGGGGTATGAGTTTGATCCCTGGTCAGGGAGCTAACATCCCACACTCCTTCAGGCCCAAAAACCAAAACATAAAACAGATGTAATAGCTTCAGTAAACACTTTAAAAATGATCTACATCATCAAAAAAAAAAAAAAGATCTACATCAAAAAGTCTTAAAAAAATACAGACTGGCCTTGAGTTGGAGCTGCCTGTCCCGCCTACCCCCCCACCACAAAAAGGAATAAAAAGGTGGTCAAAGATTCAGTTGTAGCAAAGAAATATCTGGAGGAAATAAAGTAGAATGATTTATATTAGGCAGAAGTTTATTATGGAAGCTGAACATAAACCAAGGTTTTAGAAATGTTTTAAGTTAAAATGCATTTAGATGGCCATGTTATTTCACAGTTGATAGGAAGTGTGTTTGCTCCAGGGGCTGAGTTGGGTTCTGTAGGTTTTAAACTGCTGGGGAAGCCACAGCCTCCATGGGGTGATTCTTTCTGTGATGACAAATGCCAGGAGCCTTGTCCTGCCTCCTCCTCAGGCTAGTATCCTAGCCCTGCCTGCCTCTCATGCATACAACTGTCCCACTCTTCTTCTAGAACTTTCTCATACCTCCCACAGGCCTCAGCAGTGTTGGGCATGGCATCCACCCTCAGTCAGGGAGAGCTGTTGGGCCCACAAATACTTTCCTCATCCTCTCGTGTTGATACGTATTGCTTCCCTCCACTTGTCTTGGGCTCTGATTTCATTCAGAAGCCTTGTAATACTTTAAAAAATCACACTGATTTCCATCGTCGGATTTCATCCTTATTACAGTGTCAGTTAGCTTCTCAGATGATGGTTTTTTCTGGATAATGTTGGGAGTATTTTAATTCTAGTGTTGTTAAGCAGTCTCATAAAATTAAAATAAAGGAATGCGAAGACATTTTCATCAATGCTTTTCTTTAGCATCAAAAGCATAAGGCCACAAGGATTTGCATGAGCTTTTGAAAGCAGGCAGAGAAAGAAACAGTTGAAAAGGAAGAACTTCCTGCTTTTTTAAAGGATCTGGCATCCCACTAAAAAAATGCAGAAGTGTGGTTGGTGTGCAGGACCAGTCTCCAGCTTCTGATAGAGTTCTGTGGGGAGAAAATGTCCCCTGTCACATTTATAGAGGGATTCATGTAACATTTCATGTTTCTTTAAATACTTCTCATTGCTGTTATTCATTTAGTTCTGAGTGTTTCTTCTTTATACCCTACTTCTGTGATCTCTGTGTAAAAGTAGGAAACATAAAGCTTTGGAAAACAGTTCTTAACCTTTCTTTTAAGGAGGGAAAATGAGATTTAGCTTCTGATTTATGAAGTCCTGACTAATGCATAAAGAGATACATGTATATTTAAGGAACCACTAACATGAAAATGTAAAAAGCAATTACACCCATGTTCTGTAAACGTGCTTCATTTAAAACCATAGGGCAGCTTGAGAGTGGGAGTGCCTTCCAGGGATGAAAACAATCCATAAAATTCAGCGACTGGAAAATAAAATGTTATAGATGGCCTTGACTGATCTAATCTTGAAAAAAGAGAGGCCAAAAGGAAAAAAATGAGTGAGCTCAAGTAGAATGGATTAACAAATTGAAAGATAAAAATTATCAGAAAATTATCATCACAACCATTTTGATTGCTTGACATGACAGATACTGTTTTAATAAGCTGTCAGTGGGATTATAATTGCACTCATCTCACACGCTAGTAAAGTAATGCTCAAAATTCTCCAAGCCAGGCTTTAGCAATACGTGAACCGTGAACTTCCAGATGTTCAAGCTGGTTTTAGAAAAGGCAGAGGAACCAGAGAAATTGCCAACATCTGCTGGATTGTCGAAAAAGCAAGAGAGTTCCAGAAAAACATCTATTTCTGCTTTATTGACTATGCCAAAACCTTTGACTGTGCGGATCACAATAAACTGTGGAAAATTCTTAAAGAGGTGGGAATACCAGACCACCTGACCTGCCTCTTGAGAAATCTGTATGCAGGTCAGGAAGTGACAGTTACAGCTGGACATGGAACAACAGACTGGTTCCAAATAGGGAAAGGAGTACATCAAGGCTGTATATTGTCACCTTGCTTATTTAACTTATATACAGAGTACATCATGAGAAACACTGGGCTGGAGGAAACACAAGCTGGAATCAAGATTGCCAGGAGAAATATCAATAACCTCAGATATGCAGATGACACCACCATTATGGCAGAGAGTGAAGAAGAACTAAAGAGCCTCCTGATGAAAGTGAAAGAGGAGAGTGAAATAGTTGGCTTAAAGCTCAACATTCAGAAAACTAAGATCATGGCATCTGCTCCCACCACTTCATGGCAAATAGATGGGGAAACAGTGGAAACAGTGGCTGACTTTATTTTTCTGGGCTCCAAAATCACTGCAGATGGTGACTGCAGCCATGAAATCAAAAGACACTTACTCCTTGGAAGGAAAGTTATGACCAACCTAGACAGGCATATTAAAAAGCAGAGACATTACTTTGCCAGCAAAGGTCTGTCTAGTCAAGGCTATGGTTTTTCCCGTAATCAGGTATGGAGTTGAGAGTTGGACTATAAAGAAAGCTGAGCACCAAAGAATTGATGCTTTTGAACTGTGGTGTTGGAGAGACTTTTGAGAGTCCCCTGGACTGCAAGGAGATCCAACCAGTCCATCCTAAAGGAAATCAGTCCTGAGTGTTCATTGGAAGGACTGATGTTGAAGCTGAAACTTCAGTACCTTGGCCACCTTATGGGAAGAGCTGACTCATCTGAAAAGACCCTGATGCTGGGAAAGATTGAAGGCAGGAAGAGAAGGGGACAACAGAGGATGAGACATTTGGATGGCATCACTGACTCAATGGACATGAGTTTGGGTAAGCTCCGGGAGTTGGTGATAGACAGGGAGGCCTGGCGTGCTGCGGTCCATGGGGTTGCAAAGAGTCGGCCACAACTAAGCGACTGAACTGAACTGAAGTGGGATTATTTTACTTATGTTACACATACATGAATTTTTTAATAAAGATCAAGAGTGTATGTCAATAAGTACATATATACAGGTTGACTTTTAATAATGACGTACTGTTTCATTTCACAGCTGTGCCACAACTTTCTGAGCCAGTTCTCTACCGTTTTAACTTTTTGCTCCTACAAGTAATGCCACACACACCTTTGTTGTTAGAGGACAAAATACTGGAAGTAAAATTGCTGGGAGGAAGGCTACCAGCCAAAGCGTGTGTGAAAATGGTTTAACTCTGAAATGTATGATTTTAGCAGAATAATTAATTTCTAACATTCATGCAGTGCTTTAGCGTTTACAGAGTGTATTTACACGAATTATTATTTAAACCTTACAACCCTGTGGGATAGGTGGCATTATTTCCATTTCTATTGTTAAACATTATGTTTTACCATCGAATTAATATTTTTTAGAAGCAACATTGAAAAAATTATTGTGCCATTATATTGCAGTAAAAAAGTTGAATCATTGTAAGTAAAAATGTTAAATAAATACCATTGCTTTATGTATGTGAAAAATAAGTCACAGGAAGGAAGGGACTATTATTGCAAATTAAGCATTTATTGCAGAATCTGTAAGAAACTATAAATAAGTAAAAATGACATTTTAAATTTTGTGTTTCACCTGTGCCTGGCACTGTTCTGTGTTAGAGTCACAGTGCTGGGCCAACAGCCCAGCATCAAAGAGATCCACTGCTTAACATTTGATTTATGTTATTGCTGTATAGGCCTTTTTCACACACATACCTTCAGGCATATATTAATATCTCACAGAAATGATTTATGTAATATGCATAGTTTCTATATATTTTTTCCTTTAAGTAGTATATCACGAACATCTTTCCATGTCAATATTTGCCTCATAGCATGATTTTATGAGTCTTCTGTAGATGTACCATGATTTGTTTAATCAGTTTCTCTTTGTCTGACATTTTAGGGATTTTCAGTTTTTGCCCAGATAAATAATCCTGAACTGAAATTCTTGTAGCTGAATCTTTGAAACCCGTCCTTCACTATTTCTTTAGATAGATTGCTGAAACTGTGTGATTTAGCTAAAAGTAAGTTAA